CTACTATGCTGCCCTTGTACAATTTGAGGCGGATGGCCCGTTGAGGAATCTTCAAAGTCATCAGCTTGCGAGTCTTTCTGGCCGCCTTGGTGCGCCTAGCTCTCATGGTTTGAATCCTTCTCAAACGGCCGGCCGTGCAGTCTACTCCAAGATCTCTCATCACATCATGTACTCTTGGGCCTCCCTCGGGAAGCTGTTCTTGGAGGATCTTTTTGACTGCTGCATTGGACACAAGGAATCCAGTCTTTTGGGCCGAGACTTTCAAATTGTCCTTCTCAAGTTCAGTTTTGACAAACTCATAGGCCTGTATTGCGATTCTTGCAGCATTGTAAGGGTCCTTGTCAACAACATCGAAACTCAAGTCATCGATCCATAAGTCCGCGTGCAGTTGAGGGTATCGTCTGCTGAACTCACGGAGGGCCCTTTGCAAATACACCTTAGCAGCCAAAGGTGCTTGCGGGTCACCTGCCAGGATGCCATGACTTGCCCAGAGCGGCTCTGACGCTTCTCCTTCTGCTTCCAGGATCCTGCTTCCAGCGTACACTTGCATGGCCAGTGCCGGATGGGTTGCAGGATACGAGGAATCCAGCCAGCGGTTTGCCAGCTTTTGCAGGTTGATGCGGTCATAGAAATTGGAAAGGTCCAAAAGTACAGAGACAACGGTTCTTCGGTGTGCTTGATGATGTTCCGTCATGAAAGCTCTCTTCAAAGCAACCTGCAAACATTCTGTCCCTGGCACTGCCCTCTCCCATGGATACTCATCCTGAATGTTCTGAGCCCACAACTTGGTCTGCCCATTTCTCAAACGGCACCACAGCCTGTAAAGAGTGGCTACCAAAGCAATGGGGCGCTCAATGACTTGGGACTTTGGCAGAAGAGCTATCAACGAGGTCCCCCATTGGCTGGGTATCATGGCCGCTGCCTCGATCTGATGAAAGAGCTCTTTCAAATCTGCCATGGCACTGTAGGGCAAAGCTTTGAGGAAGTCAAAGCCAATGCCGTCCAAGCCGGGTGCCTTGAGAGCCAGTTGCTTGATGGTATACCAAATCTGTGCCTCAGTCAACGGAGGGAGCTGCTGTGCGGCTGCTTGTCCTTTCTGGATCATCTGCTCCATGCTAGCAATGAGGACCGGTTGATCCTGGATTTGCCATATGTCCCCCCACTGTTGAACTCTTTTTGGCATGCGCTCACTCCTGGGCTGGTCTTGGAAAGGCCGCATGTACGGCAGCTCATCCTTCTTGAGTGTGCGATATAATCCGCGGCACCCTTTCTTTGTTGCCTGTGTCAGCCATTGCCTGTATTCTTCAGTCTCTTGTTGAAAACTCTCTTGTTGATGCAGTTCCCTCTGTTTGGTGGTGTAATTCAAAAGGACATGAATGTGCTCATCTCCATGCTGATGCCACAGCATTTCGAACAACATCTTGTAGCCTTCACAAGTAACCGGAGCATCCGGGTGCCAGTTCTCTTCGATGTGCCAGCCTAGTTTTTGTAGACCTGTCTGATACCGAGGTTCACGTTGAGACTGGTGCAGCAACCTCTGCAACCGGATTTCGATCTGACTCCAAAAGGCTAAGCTGCGTTTCCTCCAAAGCCACGGCTTGCTAGGGTCAGCAATTGGTCGGTGGACATACTGAAGATGTGTGCCTCGCCCAGTGGTGGGTTTGTCCAGCTGTTGAAGCACAAATCTTTCAATGCGGTCATACAGGCTTCCAGTCTGTGAAGTGAGGTTGTCCGTCTCCTTGTTCAGCCAATTGACTTTGACCTGTCTGGTTTCAATTTGATGCCACTCTTTTTCCGGCTTGCTGATCTTGGGCGCTGGCCCATATTTGGAGAGTTGCCGAACCACCACTTCCTCAAAATGGCCAGCCAATTGGAAGCGGAGCATAGCATGAGGTTTGAAAGGCACCATCCAATCCGTCTGAACCGACATGTCCGCAATCAAATGTGTCGAGACAAATGCCCAATCCAGCTCATTGCCAGTGTTGCATGTCTCCTGCCCTGTTGCCAGAATTTGTACGTGCATGACCTGCGCCATGGTGGTGGTCATGAACACTTCCGGTGGAATGTTGAAGTCACCGAAAACGATCACCGGTCGTTGCAGGCTCGTCACAAAAGCCAACAACCCAGCCCACAGCTTGCTGTTGCATGGTCCTTGCAGCCCTTCGCCACATTTGAAATACGTCATCACCAAAATCAATTCGCTGTTGCCAAAAGTCCAGGAAACGCCATACCACCCACATCCTTCAATGACCTGCTTCTGGGCAAAATGGAAATGTTGATTTGGTGGGTAGACCATCATGAAACCCCCGTTGGTGCCTCCTTTGACAGTCTCAGCTGCTGGTTCACCAAGCATGTTGAGTCCACGTGTGGCCAGCCATTGCTGTGTTTTCTCATGATCCGCTGCGCCCAAGTGAGTTTCCACCATGAACAAAGGCTTCCTGGGTCGAGTGATGATCCATTGTCTCACTGCCTGACCAAGTTGCGTGATGTTGGCGAAATCAAACTGGATGCCCTCAGTACATTGCCTCTTCGAAACCGGTTCCGGTGCTATGGGTCTCTGGTGCCCGGATGTCACATCACACTCAATGTGGGCCGGTAGCAGCCGTCTTGAGGGAATGGCCCAAACCTGCACAATCTGTTGTTGGGTTGTCTCTGACAGATGTTGAAAAGGTCTGGGGTAGGCACCATCATCAACAAGCCAGTACAAACCTCTATAGATGAAAACAGCAAAGAAATGCCCCTCCTGGTGTGCTGTGCCGGAGTGGCACAGGAAACCAATCAGGGAGTATTGCAGCGTTCTGGTTTCTTCTCCATCCAGGGTGACCGGCAAATTGAAGATCGAGGGCACTTGCAAAGCACGGTGGTGCTTTGTCCATGTACCCTGAACTTGTTCATAGCGGCCAATCTGTGCCACCCACAATCCTTGCCCATCAAAAACCTGTCCCTCTGCTGTGTTCGCCCATTCAGCGATCAGGTGTTCCAAATCTCCCGGTCCTTGGGATGCATGGAATAGCAGATGAACCGGGAAGGCTTTGTGCTGCTGGACCTCCTGTCTGTAGTCAACCTGGTGGTAGCTCTGGATTACATGGTCTGTGGCCGCAATCGCCACCAATTCTTGCAGAAAATGAGATGCATCATCTTGTTTGTTGTCATCAAATTTCTCCCACAAAACTTCCAGCCCTGGCAGCTTGGGCAGATGAACTACCTCATCGGCCTTGAGTGCCTCCAGAACTGCTGTGGTTGTTTTGCTCCACAGTTGTGGTCCATCCATGAAAGCCCCCGCCCATGACCATAAGCGGAAGGCTGCATTCGCAAAACATCGATTGTTTGGATTTCCAAGCCTGCATTGCAGGCTTTGTGCCACGTAGTCAAGCGGCCACATCGGACCACTCCTTGGTGCAGTGCTGTCAGCCTGCATTTCTATGTCGCTGCTGGAGTCCATGGTGTCATCCATGTCGCCAGCTCCTCCTGTGAAGCCAGGGAAAGGCGCACTCCCTTCCTGACTGGTCAGCCGCTGGTCGGCTGAACTCCCCATCTCAGGCCCGTCAAAGGAAAAACCCCCATCTCCTGAGCCAAAACTAGCACAACCTGGCATGCTCACATCACTGCTTCCCCTGGATGTTTGTGACCAGGTTGTGTCACCCCCTTCATCAGCCCTGCAGGGTAACATGCTGTTACCCACACTTCCTCCTTTTTGCCGCGCTCTCAACAAGCTTCACGGCCAGGTCTTTCACCTGGGCTGATGTTGCCTGAAGCCCAACACTGGCCATTGCAGTGACTAATGCTTCAGGGGAAAGTTCATCTGCTATGTCTTCAGCATCTTCTTGCTTTTGCTTCTCAAGTTGCTGGTTGTACTGTGTGGTGGTGCTCTGCAACTCTTTCTGTGCCGTCTCAATCTTGCCTTGCAACTCCTTGAGGTCTTGCAGGAGCTGAGTGTATTGAGCTTTAACTGTGTCTGCCTTTGTCTGTAGGCTGGCTTTCTTCTCGGTCAGCTGCTTCAGAGTGCCCACCGCTTGTTTGACTTTGGAAGCCAGCGGTGGTTCCGGTGGATCTGGGGCCACCAATTTCTCCACCGCCTCCTTCAACTCAGTAGGCAAGCTTTGGAGGTGCTCTTTGATCAAGGTGGGCAAATCAGGTGTACTGGGAGGAGCGGTCACCTGTACACCTAAGGACGTGCATTTCTCTTTGAATGCATCCGGCAATTGATCCCAATGGTCTTTGAGTGCTTTCTGTAAAGCGGGATCTTTGGCCTTCTTGGCCTTGCGTGTCCTCTGGCCCCCTTGGAGTCCCGGAGGTGGTTCCAACAATGCTTCTTTAAAGGATTTCTTTGGCCATCGGTGCCCGTCACCCTGGTAGTTCCAGGCTGCCCAAGTCACCCTCCGGTTCTTTCGCAAGTCCGGGACCTGCGCGGTTTGCCATGCCTCTCCGCAGTGATTGCATGCCAGGTTGGGTCTCGAGACCAACCGATCTTCCCAGATCCAGCTGCTCCTGCAATGCATGCACACTTTATAGTGTCTTCTCATGCTTGGGCACGTTCTGGCCGTCCTTCTCCGCAGACTTGAGGTGTCCAGGTAAGTCTGCTCAGCCCTGTGGCCGTCAGCCACAGCGCTTGATGCTGAAAATGGCGCTTGAGCCAATGACATATATATATATATATATGGCAGCAATATATATATATATATATCTGGCAGCAACTCACTCACTAGGAAGTATAATCAACCAACTCCATTCCCAAAGTGCCTGAGGGGCATCGAAAACCAGAAACGACGTCATTGGCAAGGATAGCTTTTGAGGCAGATTCGAGAAAGGTTCCTCCCGGTGATCTCATCAGATTGCTCAATGATCTCATCTGATGTGGCGCTCCTTTCTGCCACCAAATCCATGCAGGACAATGAGCAAGTTTCTTTCCTGAGAGCTAAATAAAACTCGATTATTCCAAGTGAAATAAAGCGCAATTACTCCAAGTCTCCAAGCCATTTTGGCCTGCCACAGTAGCACAATTATAATCCACTGGGCTCGAGAGCACTGCTGGTCTTGCATCGGCCTTGATCAGCAGATGCCTTGGAACCGGCACTTTGGGTAGGAAAACTGAGAGCAAACATTGACTAGTTTTGGGTGGGTTTAACCTACCATAGGGCCGACCAGGTAGGCTTCAAACTGCATCCACAGCGTGGAAGTACTGAAATTGTTGCAAGCCTGGCACAAAATGAGATCACCCGAAGAAGGGCCAAACCATGAGAAGCAAAGCACAAAGATGAACGAAGTATGCAAAGCAGGTGCCACTTATTGTCCACAGAAAATGTATAGTTGAGACAGTTGATGAAGCATGCCTGTCAAACCAATGACTACGGAGACACTAAAAAGGGATGTTGTGAAAGCCTGACTTGGAAGTAGATGAATGCTGAAGAGATTTAACTCACCATGGCTTGAACAAAGTTTGAGGCACAAAACAAGTCATCAAAAAAGGACTGGCAAGGTCAGAGATCAATGATCTCAGTCCATCTGATGAAGTGAGTACATACAGAGTGAAGCAATGGTAGAAATTCCTTCGGATAGATGGATGTGCAACCGTATCGAAGGCGGACCTCGTGGAAAAAGCCCCTTTGGTGGCTTCAGCTTGACCTTCCAGCACTATTTCTGTTTTGGTTTCTTCTTCTCCTCCCTCTTCTGTCGTTTTCTCTCTCTCTCTCTCTCTCGCTCTCTTTGTTTACTCCTGACATGTTTTCCCTCCTCTTTACACTGTTCAAAACGCATTGCATTGCAACATATGTTTCACCAAAAGAATGGACAGTTTCATTGACCAAGCCTTTGCAAAGGACCTTGCAAATAGCTACTGACTGGGATTGCCACTCCAAATTTTTGGGCGCAACTCTGAAGCTCTTTCTCCGCCTGCTTGAGGCCCTGGGGTATTTGTGCACAGTACTTGCCCTTAGGTTTGCCCGACTAAGTTTTCGTTGTCAAATTGGTCAATCTTGCGGCGAACCTCGATTGAGGCCTCGGTCACCTTGGTCGCCTCAATTTTTTCACCTCAAATGGCGACAAAAACGTCTTAGCCATCAGAACCCGCTTCGAGTACTGCAAAAAAACAAGATGGAACCCACGAACCCGAATGCAAACACGTACTCGAAAATCGAAAACAATCAATTTTTGACCATCTTGTAGGAGACACTTTTGCGCGACACTCGTCTTGTAGGACACTTTTTTTCAGAAACCTTTGTGGGATACTCTTGTAGGACACTCTTGTGGGACACACTTGTAGGACACTCTTGTGGGACACTCTCGTGGGACACTCTTGCGGGCACTCTTGTGGAACACTCTCGTGGGACACTCTTGCGGGACACTCTTGTGGGACACTCTTGTATATCACTCTTGTGGGACACTCTCGTAGGACACTCTTGCGGCTCTTGCGGGACACTCTTGCGGAACTCTCTTTTAGGACATTGTTGTAGGACACTTTTGTAGGACATTCTTGTGGGACACTCTTGCGGGACACTCTTGTGGGACACTCTTGTTTGTCACTCTCGTGGGACACTCTTGCGGGGGACTCCTAAAGTCTCCAAAAGTCAACCGTCACGTCTCCAGAACGAGCGCTTCGTACGAGACTTCCTCAAAAACGCACACTTCGACCAAAATTCACGCATCAATCCTCCAAAGCGTTCCGTACGAGACTGCCTCCAAAAGTCACGTGTCCAAGTTTCCAACACGAGCATTTCGTACGAGACTTCCAGTCACGCGGGAAGCCCCATTGGAGCACACACACACACATCAAGCAGCCCTGCCAAGCAGTTTCGCGGTTCCACCCCCTCGAGACAATGCCTGCTCACATGCCAATCCCAATGCCACGGCGACATTCACCACCACCACAACTCGCAACCTCACGATTCCCTGCGCCTGCCACGAAAATTTGCACATCCACACGTCCAACGCGCACAAAGTACTGCGCCTGCCACGAAATGTGACCCTCTGCCACACCTCGCAACCTCACGAATCCCTGCGCCTGCACGAAAATTGCACTTCCACACCTCAAAGCCCACACAACGTGCTGCGCCTGCCACGAAAAGTGAGAATATCATATCATGTAAGCTTCAACAAAATATGCACCACACCACAAGTTTGGAATAATTTCGAAACGTTCTGAATACACTCCCATCCACCAAAATCATCCCAAATCGCCATTTCAGAGACCTGTCAAAAACACCCGTTTCGATGCAACACCCTGAAACGCAAATCCCAATGTCACAGCCACATCTGACACCCAAAAAACACCACCCTCCAAACGCCAATCCTACCACCACCACGTTATTACCCCAAAAACAGCTGCCATCTCCCAGCAACGTCACTACCCAACTGCCCGTGTTTTGCACGGTCACTACATCTGCCAGGAACGTTATTGCCCCAGCCCCATCCCCCCACCCAACCTATTGTGATTCAGTAGCCAGCTGCCATCTCCCAGGAACGTTATTGCCCCAGCCCCATCCCATCAGTACCCAAGTGCCATCTCCCAGGAACGTTATTACCGCAGCCCCATACCACCACCCCACCTAACCTACTGTGAATTTGGTTGCTGAATCGTTGTTTTTTGGTTGCTGAATCGCGGAATGTTGGTTTCTGAAACGCAGAATTGTGGCTTCTGAAGCGCAGAATTGTATTTTCAGAAGCGCTGCAAGTTTGGTTTCTGAATCGCGGATTTTGATTTCTGAATCGGACTTTATTCCCCTACCCCCAGACCCCCAGAGTTAAACGATAACCCTTCGCTACGCATTCGGGAGAAAACACGCTGTTTCCGCTGCTTTTTTGGAGCGGGTAGGCCGCTACCCTACAAAAAGAAAATAGGTAAGCTAGTAGCTTTTAGACAGCTACAAGTAGGTAGTAGCAAGCAAGCTACTACTAGCAAGGACGCAGAAGGGCTCGGATGGTCAAAATGGTTCTAGCCTTTAGAGAATCCAAGTTGTTCATCACCAAAGAGCAACTCGACTCTTTGCTTCCAACGACAACAACGAAGCTGCTCTTGGACGAACAAGATTTTCTCCGCACCTTGGTGGTCACTTGACTCGTTCTTTTCACAGACTCGCCACTAGGAGCAAGAAGCTACTAGTAGCTCCTGGCTTTACTACTATATAGTAACAAGAAGCTACTAGGAGTGTCACCATGAGTTCACCATGAGTTTGTATGACTGGGGCTGCTGAGGTTCAACAGTGTCGCTTGCCAAGCTTCTCCTCACATAATTTGCAAACTATAAAGTTGAAGCTGACTGGATTCTGTAGATTCGCATTGCCTCTTCTGCTTTGGAACAGCTTCTCAACAATGTCAACGCCTAGGTTTCCGCTCTGGGACTTGGAACTTGAAGCTTAAAACCGCGTGAAACTGTGCATTATATATATATATATACACGTACATTATATGTACTGTATACAATAATGATGCAAAAAGGAATGCCTCTTGCTGACTGCTTCGATGACAGCGCAACATTTTGCTAAGCTCTTCATGATATTCTTGCCTCTTGGAGCAATCCTTTGTGCCCCGACAACTCAGCTCATCCACTCGTTCTCGTTGGAAAAGAGTGCTTCTTCTTTCAGAGACCCAATTGCTTGGGGAAGCTGTTTCTTGCTCACACTATCCATGCGGCTTCAAAGATTGGGCGATGTCATTCCGATGCCCTTTTCTCGCTGTATTCCCTCCTTCTTGTAGAGGAGCGTTGAAAGGTCGTCAATCTCTGTTGACGGAGTATCAGCTTTCAAGTGCGTCAAAATCAGAATCAAGTCAGTGCCATGGCCTTGGCAAGCGAACGCTGACCATTTTGCAAGGCAGCGACATCCAAGACTATGGCCTGGGAGTGCCTGCATGAACACGTCACCTCCAAAGTATTGCGCATGAAGCCCTCAGATTAGCGATTCGAGATGTTGCGATGTGAGACGGCCGAGGAAAAAACAATCAGCCGCTTCATGCTTGGCAAAGACTGAGGCTCTATGACATGCAAAGACATCAATCCACAACAGTGACTGTTTTCGCCTCATCATACATCAACGAATCACAACGCCGGCAAAAGGTTAGCAAAGGCGAGCACGAGTAAGAGGCAGCCCAAAGCCATAACCAGCCAACTCCGTTCGCCTCAGGGTGTTCAATGTGGCCAACTCACAACCCAGTATATAGTCTGATTGTGCCTAAGGAGCGAACAATTGTGTATGGGCTGGAGCAGGTGGTGGAGCATCAGACCCTCTATCCCAACCTGAATGCCAAAGCGTGGGCACTGTAAGACAAGCACGTTCCACTGAAACGAAGAACCTCCGAAATATACTGTACTCCTCATAAACTCCTTAAACGATTCCTGCAGTGCACTTCACTCTCAAGGATGGCAACTGAGAGGCTGCAGGATTCCTCTGCATACTGAAATGCTTCCGGATTGGCTTTGGCTGAATCAACTGTTGTCCAGCCGTACTGCCATGCCTGGAACAGTGAGCAAAGATCAATAGAGGCAAAGGCCGGCCTCGATATCAAAATATATATATATATACTGTAGATAATAGATAGATAGTATCAATATCCACAGCTGTAGTGAGTATACTGACCGACAATACTTGCAGTGCGTTCCTCATCACTACCCGCTCCGGGTGTGTACTGGCCACAGAGGCTATATATTGTTGTGTCATGTTGTGTTTAATGATCTGTGGCATCATATCTCACAAGAAAAAGAACAGGTCCATTGGGCTACTCCAACCTTACAATCAGGCCTTGATTGCAACTTTTCACCCGCTCTTTTGCATTCTGGAGCCGTGCCCGTGCCCCAATCTCATTACATTGCATTGCTTGCCCAGTCCCACTTATTCTGCATTGGAGGTGCCAGCGGCTGGCATTATAAGACAGCGGGTGACCCCATGAGAATGTCTAGCGAGGTGTCATTTCTAGATTCGAGATGCCATCTTGGGTCTATGGCAGTGTAAGTTGCCAATCAAGCAAAGAAAGAGTGACCGATAATCGAGTGAGTGTTCTGTTGGAGGGCAGGAGGCAAGCAGGTGCACATCAGGCCGAGCATCCAAGGGATGGTCCACATTTGAAAGAACGATAACTGGTGATGAGTGGAAGGGTGCGGCACAAGCAAAAGATGCAAAACATAAAAAGCGACAGCAACCATCTGTGTCAAGAACACACAACAAACAGCACTCCAAGGCGTTGAGCAACCCTCCAGTGCACCTTGGAGGCGGCACTATTAAGTATCGCACACACTGTGTTGGTTGGCAGTGTTTTCCTTTGAGAGCTGTATATAAGGTTTAATAAAGCACTCCAAGGTTGCAGAGGCTTAGGTAGTTCAAAGCAGCTAAGCCATTGGAGAGTTGCTACACATACTGATCAGTGACCCTTGGAGACGTTGGGGGTTCTTGCCCGCTTAAAGCAAATCCAAAGCCAAGTAGCAGGAATCATAATGGCAATGCTTCTATTCTAATTCCAATAGTAGCCACTGGCACTTAAGAGTATTTGAGTGTCAAAAGCACCCTAATCCAAGGACATAGAATCACGATTGCGCAGAAATTCAAAATTGATGTCATTCATATGCTATGCATATTTGATGGGCTCGTGGCTTTGGGAGACTTAAAAATACACCCAAAACTAGAAATGCTCTGGTGCACAAGTACAAGCGTGCTTTCATTGACACTGTAATTTATTGCCTCGTAGTTCTTGGCTACGGTAGTATGTTTAATGAGCTTGACTACAGCATACCCAAGACCAAATACGCACCGAATAAAACCTGCAGACCGGTACACAAATGTAAGATTGATCTCGCTAACGATGTTCATTGTTGATTCTTCATTTTGGCTCCCAAAACAAGAAATGCGAAAACATTGATCTTGGGAGGACCTACATGCATCTTAGACGAAGCATTAGCCAGTCCTTCAAAATCCCAAAGCAGCTTGCCTCCTTTTGCATGCGCTTTGGCATGCCTCCACCCTGATCGGAGATCTTGAAGATTACATGTATGTCCTGAGCAGGTGCACAACTCAAACGCGTGCGACACCCATGCACGGCACAAGCCCTCAGCGCAGAATGGTAAAGTGTTTTACGAATGATAGTTAAGGAGTGTCATTGGAATCTTGCCAGTATGTCCCCTCTCACTATTCTGAAGGGTTTTGGCTGCATGTGAGGCAATGTCTGTGCGGCTAATGCTTAAAGGCAAGTGCTTGCTAGTGCATAATCTTGATATTAACAAGACGTTGAGATCTGTATGCTGTCTCTCTCGGGGTGAGGAAGTCTTTGAGATCTATGCATTTACGTGCGTACGAAGGCAACCATCCGCAATCTATCTTCATGGGGTGTTTCCTCCGTTTCCCTCTGCAAGTTTGATCTCAGGCTACAGCTGCAGTCTTCCCTCTCTCTCTCTCAAATGTTCTATATCTTTGTGCCTGCTTGTCCTTTAAGGTAAGAGTCGCCCTGCTGCAGTTCAACTGCGACATGAGGGAGTGGATCAGTAACTGTGCTCCTTCAAGTAAGAAAGGCAATCCCGTCCAGTGGTTGTCACCAAGCTAGCTAGTTGGGACGTCCTTGTTAGGTGCCTCTCGACAGTAGATCGAAAGGCGTTCTTGAGCAGCTCCCTTGCGGACTTCGGCCCGGTCACTTTCAATAAGTGCGAATGACACAGGAGAACGGTATAGAACGATGGCAAAAAAATATGTTCGACTGCACCTTCATACCTTGCAGCACTGCAAAGCAGGCCTCACCATGTACTTGACATGTCGAGGAATGTAGTCAAGGACGCAGTCTGGATTTCCACCTGAAAAATGAGAAGTGGTCAGGCAGGCGTGACATCTTGAGCAGAGTGGACATCATGCCACCACTGTCTGATCCCTAGTGTGAGGCCAAGGCGGTATTCAACCAGTGGAGCGCAGCCATACAGTGATTCTGTGAGTGCAGTCAGTTCACCTTCGAAATGGCAGGGAGCAGCAAATGCGAATGACCCAAAAGCAGGACAGGTGCCTATATAACCTCCTGACCCCCAAGTTTCCAAGCTTTTCAAAGGAAGTCTGCACACCGAAGGTGCTGGGGGCGTTCTTGTGTTGGGGTGCGTTCGTCTGGGAACGGAATTGCATATCCTGCATCATGAGGTGTGTCTGGAGGGGAAGTGATGGAAAACAAATGCATGGCTTTGCAACATGTGAGCAGCGTTTTTTCCCCAGATAGCGAAGCTATGGGGTTCTTATTTCAAATAACAATGAGTTGCCCGTGCGCGCTTTCGAGACAGGTTGCTGGTGCTGGGTGCCGGTGCTGGTGCTGGTGCTGTGAGCTGGTTGTGCACGGGGTGGAGACAGGTTGCTGGTGCTGGTGCCGGGTGCCGGTGCAGGTGCTGTGAGCTGGCTG